ATTATTATTTCATCCCATCAATGAAGAATTTTTTGAGAGCATATTACCAAGCTGGTCTCTTAATTCACCATGTAGTCATGGAGCTTCCTGATTCTATCTCCACCTCAAAAATGCTGAGAGATTGCAGACATGCCTCACCATGTGTAGCAGTGCTTTTTGTTTTTGTATTTTTTTCCCCAAAACTAAATCTTTCAATATTTGAAACTAATATATAAAGCATCTTCAATGTTTTTTTATGCGTTATTGATAATCAGTGCTAAGAATGTCTATTCTAAGTACATTGCAAAATGGCAGAAATACGTTTTAAGGCCATTTCAGAAATTGTTAGAAACTCTGTTAAAATCTTAAACCAAAGTTCATTTAACAGTTAATTTCATCAGCAGCTAGGTATGGTGCAGATATTGTAATCCTAGCGCTTGGGAGGAGGCAGAATTCAGCTGTGTAGTAAATTGTAGTTTACTTTGCTTTAGTGAAATCTTAAGAAAAAACAAAACACAAACAATGACAAAACCCAGAACAACAAAAAAGATGGGTCAATACTGTCAGAACATAAGATTTATTAAATTTCTGATGAATTATTTTGGTTTGCCCAGAATTGAGGATCCTTTTAACCCTTTTACTGAAGTCAGGTTTTTCGCCACTCCTACATTCAGTTGTATGATTCCATTTGGGGTTGAGGTCCATTCGGAATCTGGGATAGTGGGGTGTGGTGGCTCAGGCCTGAAAGCTCAGCACCTTGGAAGTAGAATTGAAGGTTGGAAGGTCAGCCTACTCTACATGGCAAGTTCAGGCCAACCAGGAAGGACTACATAACTTAACTTAACCTTGTCTCAACAGTAAATAGTTGTCAGAAAAAAATTATACTTTAAAGTTTATTGAAAGGATCTCTGTCTTCAAAGTAGTTTTACACTTATATATTAGCTAGTTAGTTGTTAAAGTCAGGGCTGACTGATCATGTGTGCTTTGTGTCTTACACTGCTTAGCTTAGCCCAGATTGTGTATGTTTCCCATTTAATGAATGAGTTGAGTTGGATTAAATTTTTTCTCAATTGGCCCACCTTGTTTGCAGTACAATTCTAGTTTAAAATTTACCTTTACCAACCCTTAAAACACCAAAAAAGTCCCTGTATACTGACTTGTTGAGTATTAGCCTGCTTCAGTTTTGTGAGGAAACCCAGTAAGTATAAATTTGTGTACTTAAATTTTTTATATTTTGTGATTATGATTGCCATTTTCTTCTTTCCTCTAAATCCTCCCATTCACACCCCTCCCCCCCATTGCCCCTTCAAGATCATGGCCTCCTTCTCATTGTTACAAATGCATAAATATATGTATGTGCATGTATATACTTAGAAGGGAGGAAGCTCTTGAGGCTTCAAAGGGGATGTAGCTCAGTTGGTGGTGTTTGCCCACCATATGTCAAGCTTGAGATTCCAAAATGATCTCCATCACCAAATAACCTGGCTGTGGTGGTACAAAAATGTAATTGGAGCACTTGGGAAGCAGAGGGAGGAAGGTCAGGAGTTCAAGGTCATGGCCATTTAGCTAGTTTGAGGCCAGACTGTGGTAAATGAGACCTTGTCTCAGAGACAAAGCATGAATAATGTTATTTCTTGGTACTAAATTAAAACAAAAACATTTGCCACAAGTGTGAATGCTGGTGGAAGGCAGAAGACGACTTTGGATCTCTCTACCTGTGGATGCAGGCAGCTGTTAGGTGCTCACTGTGGGCCCTGGGTCCTCTGGAAGAGTCCTGAGTGCTCTTAGCCATCAAGACGGCATGTCTTAGCTCCATTTTAGTTCTTTATAAGATTTTGACTTTGTGTGTGTGTGAATTGCTAGTTGAAATCAAGATCTCACATGGTATGTATACATATTACAACTAGGGTTAAGTGTTAGCTCAACTTAAACTGTATTCCCAGTTTATAAGCTATATTTTCAGCTATATGTTTCTATTGTATGTATATTTTGCATATCGCCCTTTCCACCTGTCTCTGCCTCTCGAATGCTGGGATTAAAGGTTTGAACCACCACTGTTCTCCTCTCTTTTAACCTCTTAATTGCAACCATCCATAGCTTTAAAACTCTTTAATAGTATTCCAGTTATGGGCCTTAATTTTTTTTTCGCTAAAGTTAGTTCAGGACTTACCTCTATGTCTATCCATTCTTCTTTTCCAACCCCTATCTTAGCAACTAAAATCCCATTATACACCATACTATCCTTGATTGGTTAAACAGCTATTGAGGTCAAAGGGGCCACTGTTGTTAACAATTTGCATAGTGGTAATACCTAGTGGCTGTGGTGGTTCTCATGGCTAATATTCTACTCTGGGATAATATAGAGACCTGTAAGGCAACCTGGGACTGGCAAATTATTTTCTGAACAGTGTACTTAAACTCTGCTGCACTCAAGTACCTTTGCAGCGTGCAAGTGTGTTGACTGAAAGAATATAGCTGGCAAAATGTCAAGCAATGACACAAACCCAGATGCATAAATCTCAAAACGTAACATAAGAAACCCAGAACCCAAGGCAACATATCCCTGATCCCAAATTACTAATCATACAGTAATGGCATCTAGCAAGAGTGAGTTAGATGGAATTCCAGGCAGAGAATTAAAAAGATTTTTCTTTTCCTTTTTAACTATGTTTAAAGAGACAAAAGAAGACAGTAAGATCCTGATGGGGAACACAGGGAAACCACAGAATGAGGAAGGGAGACTTTGCAAAATAGGAAAGGGGGATTGGTTTTAAAGAGAGAAATATTGGAGGAAAAAAATCTGAAATGCTGTGAATGAAAAACATAAAAGTTTGTGCAATAAAATAGAAATGAATGAGTCAAGGAGAAGATAAAATATCTGAACTTGAAGACAAGTGGCTGAACTGAACTGGAGCAGTCAGACACAGAGCAATGAGAAGGTAATGGTGGGAGTTAGGATGTCACATTTCATCCCCAAAAACCATGTCTAGGAGCGACTGGAGGCTCAGCTGTAATTCCGCTGTAGAGACTATTCCCAGGAGCAATCCAGTTCTGGAGACTAGGTGAATTCATGAGATCCAGGAGAAAACAAATGCACACACAATAAGAAACATAATACTTTAAAAGAAGTTAAACAAAAAAAAAAAAATGTTGTGTGCCATGATTCTTCCTTTTGATGATTGTGATAAGTGCTGATGCAAACATTGGTACACACATTTTAAAGTATGACATTCAGTTCTTTGAGCATACTGAATAAAGATATTGTGGGTAATAGAGTAATTATGTGTTTTAGCTTTTTGAAGGATTGCCACATTGTAGTCTATAGTGGTACAATTTTATCTTCATAACAACAGTAACATACATGGGCTTCAATTTCTTACTATCTTCAATACCACTTGTGTTTCTGCTATTAAAAAAAAAAAGATTATGCGGCTATCCTAGTGGGTGTGAACTAGTGACTCATGGTAGTTTTGACTTAAATTTCCCTAATGGCCATTTTTCTAGTGATGCTGAGGGCAGGCCTTTTTATATGTATATTGAGTAAGTATATCTAGTGGCATTTCATTTATATGTATATTGAGAAACAGCTAGTGGCATTTTGCTTTTTTTTTCCTTTTTTCTTTTTCTTTTCCTGGGAGACAGGGTTTCTCTATGTAAACAGCCCTAGCTATCCTGGAACTACCCTTTTAGACCTGGCTGGCCTCAAACTCAGAGATCTCTGCCTCCCAAGTGCTGGGATTAAACACATGTGCCTTCACTGCCTGGCTGATAATTTTTCTTTCTAATGTCAAAAAATCAGGAGTCATCAGGAACTTGTGTTGACCAAAGTGGAAGGTTGGTGGCATCAATTGATTTAAGCTACCTTCAAGTTACTAAAAACCTGATGAGGCAGTTGTTGCTGTCCTGAATGGTTTGTCAGAGATATCATGTATAGCAAAGCTAATAAGACTATTGCTTAGCTAGGTGATCTTAATATTGGCCATAAAAAGCAAGTGAAGCTAGAGGGTTTAATCAGGTTTTTATTTTAGTATCAGGATTCTTACAATATCCTGTCATTTGAGTCCTTGTGTTAACTTCCTACATATATCCCTCTTTATATTTCTCTTTGTTCCTGGCTGTCCTGAAATTTGCTCAGTAGACCAGGCTGGATTTGACCTCTGCCTGTCTCTGCTTCCTGAGTGCTGGTCAAAGGTGTGCACCACCACCCAGCTTTTCCTATAATTGATTTTGAGTTTTCTGAAAATTGGGATGTGGATAAGAATAAATATATCACAGAGCTGTAGAGATGTCTTTGTGATTAAGTGCACTTGCTGCTTTTCCAGAGGAATTTGCAAATTTAAAGATCTCAACTGGGCCTTATTTACTGTTCTAGAAAATGGGAAACCTTTTTTGTCAAATAGAGAACATGTTCTGATGGACTGAATGTAAGTAGGCTTTATAGATACAAGAGCAGAAGACCCAAACAAGACACAGTTTTAAGAGGGCACAGGGAGACAGTAATAGACAGTCATGCGGTTGGCATCAGGCCGCTTGTTTGGGCAAGGATGAAAGTGAAGGAACAGCATTGTGTGTGTTGAAAATGAAACTGTTCTGTTTAGAAAAGTTGGCTATTATCTTCCTTGATTTTTCCTTTTCTAGTTTTGGACAATAAGTAACTTTTGAGATTGGTGATGTGGAACTTTAGTATGGGAAACTTTGCTTTGAAATTTAGTTTGGTCTGTTGGGGTTTACTTCAGGAACTTAGTTCAAAACAGTGGTCTCCTATCATTACAATTTAGCAATTGCAAATGGAATCTTACAATTTGGTCATTGTAATTTAGTTTTTTTTCTTTTCTTTTTTGAGACAGGTTCTCAGTGTAGACATAGCTGTTATGGAATTTGCTGTGTTAATTGGCTGAATTTGGGTGCCGAAAAGCATGCACCACCGTGTCCAGCCAGTCATAATTTACAGGAGATACAGCATAAGGAAATACATTTGGCCAGAAACCACAGATCTAATTTCTTCCATTTTTATATGACAGGGACTTGCCATGAGGTGTTGAAGCCTTGTTTCGTTGAGTTGGAGAGACTGGACCTAAATGGCGCAGCATGACTTTGCTCCAGCCTGGCTTAATTTTCCTACTCCGCCATCATCAACAAAGGTACTCCTCCCTCCCCCAATCTCTGTGCCTTTCTGTCTGCCTTGATCTTTTTGCTTATGTTGTACAAATATAATCAAAATGCAAAGACTTGGGTTGTGGTTGGAACCCCTAACACTTCCCTAACCTGTCCAAGGCCCAGGGTTTAAGTCACAGTATAAAAGACAGTTTCTATGTTGTTTTTGTTCAAGGTGGTTTTTGTAGTGTTAAGAGAGCACATACATTTTAAATGAGGCCAGTCAGATAATTTGAACTTTTTAAAATAATTTTTATTACTTTACTGCTAAGTAATAATGATAGCATAGCATACATAAGGTACTTAAAAATTTGCAGAGTACTTTGCCAAATATTTAGTTTGGTTCTGATTTCATGAATGTTATATTTTAGATTTATTCCCATGTTTTGTTCCACGAATTTCAATTATTGACCTCATGTTTCTACAGGGAAAGTAAAATGACTGTATTCCAGAGTAAAGGACAGGGGCACTGATGACTCTGTATAGCTGTCCACCTCATTTGATACCACAACTCTGTGCTAGGCTCCATTAATTGCTGGTTGGCTACTGTGTTGTTTTCAGCAATGTCCTGGGGCATAAAATGCTCCTTGTTCTGACTTTTTTTTAATTAGATAAAAGGTGGTTTGAGGCCAGTCTCTGAGGTTTGTTCTGATCCCCAGAAAGAAGGCTCGAAAGAAGGCTCTCTTGGTTGTTTCCTTGGTTTTCTTGTGCTTGCTGCCTCATTGGCTTAGCTCACTGCTGTTGTTGGGAGTAGCCACCACTCTCCTGTGTGTTAACTCCCACACCTCCTACAAAAAAATCTCCATCGTTCCTGAGGGCTCTTTAAACTTTCTCATGCCGTGTTTTAAAGAGTTCCTTTGAGCATGGTTTCTTACCATTGTGAAAATTTAGTAGGGAGCTGGACTAAGTGAAATGGATGAAAAATCTGAAGTGGATTGTTCACTTGTGAATGGGGGTTGGGCAGAGAAAAAGGACCCTGGTTTCATGACGGTCATTTGGAATACAACCTCTTCAGTAGCTGTTGGACAGAATCCTTGTCTGCAGTTACAGAGGGACTGGAGAGTAGGTGGTGCCCGCTACAGATTGTCATAAAACAGTCAATGGAGAAATTGGTTAAAAGTGTTAGAAAATAAGCATGCAACATCTCTAAAATTTGTTCTAAAGGCACATAGAAAAGAGGTTTACAAACATGAAAGATTTATAAGAATGTTCTCTTCTGATTACTGGCTTAACTTTTCTACTTTTTCAATCACCTTGAAGACTTTTTTAAACTAAGCAGGATTGAATCATGACTAATACTTTGGGAATATGAAAAAAATTTACATAACTCACTAACATTGGCTTAGTTAATAAGATGGTATTAATGTTTGTTAACACTAGAGATTTAACTGGCATTGGAAGTAGCATCGTGTTTTTTTCCCCCTTTTTTCAAAATATGATAAGAAAATTCTCGAGTGTTAGGAATCCTTAAAAGGTGTGGGCCACCACTGACTGGCAAAATTTTCATTTCTTTTATGTGTGTGTATGCCTACATGCACACACACATAAAGTTTATTTTATGTGCCATGTTTTGCCTGTATGTCTGTCTGTATGAGGGTGTCAGAAAACCTGGAGCTGGAGCTACAGGTGGCTTTGGGAATTGAACCCAGGTCCTCTAGAAGAGCAACGGATGCTCTTCACTGCTGAGTCTTCTCTCCAGCCCCAAGCCAGGTTCTCATGTATTTTTTTCTCTGCTTCCCAAGTGCTGGAATTACAGGTGTGTTCTATCACATCTAACTTAGGTGAAGTTTTGTTAACTGTTTTCCTGCTTGTTTCCCCATACATAGTGACTGCATTTGTGCCAGGCTTTCTCAGGCCCCTGCGTGCTGTAACCTATCCAGCTTATAGCCAACCTCCCTCACATCCCCAAGGCCAATTTTGGAGTCTATGCATATGGATTTCTTGCTTCCCCTTCAATTTCCTTTTCCATTTTGTGCAAAGTAACATAAGCTTATTCCATTTGTAAAAGAGTCTTATGACTAACATAAGCATACTACTGAAAGCTGTTTGGAAAGTGAAATTGCGGTAACAAAAGGTTGTAAGCTTGTCAGTATTTAAACATTAATAACCCACAGTAAGTGCTGAAGACTAACGTTACAGTATAGTAAATTCCTAGTGCTTTTCTAGAATGGGGAGTATCATTAGAATCATCATGATAAACTCTGCCACTGAGCTGGTGCTTTCTTCCATCCATCCATCCATCCATCCATCCATCCATCCATCCATCCATAAGTTCAGATTGACCTTTGAATCTCTGTGTGGTGTATGACCTTTGAACTTTTGAACCTGCTTTTTCCAGAGTCAAGTTCTTGGTCTTTATTTTGGGACAGGGTCTCACCATGTTGTCCAGGCCTGCGTCAAACATTCCTTCTAGTTCAGCTAACCTTTGCATTTGCATGATCCTCCTGTTTTACCTCTCTAGTAGCTGAGTTTTCAGCTCCAAGTTTTCTCACCAAAGCTGTTCTCAAGTGGTTGTTAGTCTAACTCAGTGGCTCTCAAACTTCCTAAAGGGACCCTTCAATACAGTTCCTCATGTTGTGACTCCCCCCACCATAAAATTGTTTCATTTCTTCTTCATAACTAATTGTGCTACTGTTATGAATTATACTGTAACTACACGGTTATGTTTTATGGAAGGTGAGGTAGGTGTGTATGTGCGTGTGCATGTGTGTGTGTATACATACAATATAGTAATCAATTATTAATATTTATTTTTTGGTTTTTTTTAAGATTGTATTTCTCTGTGTAGCTTTGGAGCCTGTCCTGGAACTCACTCTGTAGACCAGGCTGGCTTCGAACTCATAGAGATCCGTAGTGCTGGAATAAAAGGTGTGCGCCATCAGTGCCTGGCTTACTATTTTTTATAGTTCTGGCTGTTTTGGAACTCACTGTGTAGACCAGGCTGGCCTTGGGCCTTGAACTCAGATCTGCTTGCCACTGCCTGTGCCAACACTCCTGGCCCTAGGAATTTCTTTCTTTCTTTCTTTTTCATTTTTAAATTATAACATCTCAGCCTATTTTTTTTTTTCATCTTCAAAATCACCAGTCTTAGATTTGTTTGTAATCAACTGCTTGTTCTCTACTGAGACTTGTATTGTGCATGCCTCTGCTTTTAATCTTGTCTTAAATAAATGGAACAAGCATTAATCATTATTGCATTCTTTAGTTCACTATAATGATAGTCTTCAGCTTTTGTTTGGAATGATGTATCGATAATGAATTAAGGGTAATAATGTTATAACTGCACTTTCTAAGATGCGTAGTATTTTAGCACCATCATGTGGTCAAAGTATAAACTACATGCATCTGATTATGCCTGTGCCTTAGTAGTGTTCATTTACATAGTGTGTTTTGCATATGCACAGGTCTAATTAAGTTTCATTTGACTTTGTGCACTAGTTCATTTTAATTTTTCTCCCCAAGGCAGAGTTACTCCGTGAAACAGTCCTTGATGTGCTTGGTAGACCGGGCAGGCCTTGAACTCAAAGCCTCTGTGTTTGTGTGTGTTTTTGACCTTGTGCATTGTGGGTCTTTCTCTTACCATGCGGGTGTGGTCCCGGTCTCTTACGCTGGGTCTAATGGTGTTAGACCTGCACTCGTCCCTGTAGACACTTCACTTAAGATTCAGTCTTTTTTTGTCAAGGGACCCCTCGCCTTTAATCCCAGCACTCAGCAGGCAGAGGCAGAGGATCTTTGTGAGTTCAAGGCCAGCCTGGTCTACAGAGTGAATTGTAGGACAGCTAGGACTACATGGAGAAATTGTGACTCCAAAAAAAAAAAAAAAAATAAATAAAATTAAAAAAAAAATAAACAAAAACAAAACAAAAAACCCAATTTGTCCTTTTGGAGAAGTGGTTCTAGAGTTTAACACCACGATTTTATGTATGCTAAGAAAGTACTCTGTTAGTAATAGACTAACACCCAGTCCTGTTGTAAGGTTTTAATGAAACAAGGAAGCTTACGGTCACCTATGCAGTCACATCCTAAATATTATGCCTCATTTTGGAAATAGAATATTACCTATACAGTCAACATGTCCTTACCAATTCACTTTTTATAGTCCATTTCCCACCTTGTGTCTTATACATTGGGTTTATGCTTTATTTTTGTTTCTGTAATTTTTCCTATATGGGTTGCAGAAGTACATACAGAGGCTCATCTGCTCTTGTACGTTATCTTCAGTGTTTTTAAAGTTAAATTACCATTTCATTCTTGCGTGTATTTTGCTATATAAATTATAGTACCATATTACTGTTTTGAATATTTTCTAAAATTATGGCTTTAGTAATAATATAGCTCATGTTAAAACTTTGTTGTGGGTGTTGCTTTTCTTATTGTGACTGGGTATTGAACCCAGAGCTTACCAAATGCTAGCAAGTGTTCTGCAGCCACTAACTTATGCTTTAGTCCATTTTGAATTTTTTAAAATGTGAATAATCACATTTTTGAATGTCAACTCTGTGTCTCTTTTCAGTCTTACGATTCTTACTTAGATTTTACTGCACTGACAACTTTTTAGGAGGCTTTGAAAGCCCCTCCCCCTTCTATTTCTTCTAAATCAAATAAACCTGCCTTCTGCTTTGAGACTTAGGTTAGAGACCCTTAGGTTAGAGACAAGGCTATGGCTGATGACAGCAAACAGGCACTGGCTCATCATGCTTCCCAAGGCTTTTGGAGAGTAACGGCAAGAGGGGTGACTTTAGGTGGGTGCTTTCCTTTGCACTGAGTTTAGGGAATCGGTTACATTTTAAACCTAGCAATTGGGAGACAGAGGTAGGTAGCTATCTGTGAGTTCCAGGATAGCCAGGTCTACACAGAAAAATCTTTCTGTCTGAAAACCAAAACCAGAACAAACAAAACAAACCCACCAAACAAAACAAATCCCATTCTTTGTTTCAGAGGAGGCTACTGCTTAACCCACTTAACCATTGATGTTCATTCTCCCAAA